ACTTCAGAGGGCTCTGGGGAGGATGAATTTAAAATTTTAGTGTTAAATGCCTGGCACAGTTCCTGGCTCAGACTCCGTGTGTAGAAAATGTTTGTTGAATAAAGAAACAAAACACATGTAATAGAAAAATTTTATTGAGCACTTACTATGTATCTAAACCCTTTCTCGTGTATTAACTTATCTAAACCTCACATCAAACCATGAGGGGTACCCTTATTAACCCCTTTTACAGATGAGGAAATTGAGGCACAGAGAGAGGCACAGTATCTTGCCTAAAGGCTCAGCATTGGCCAGTGGTAAGGATGGGATTTTCTGTCTGTTCTTACCCATCTCACTTCCCTGCCCCTCCACCCTAGGAGAGAGGTGTCACAATTAGTTGTCTATTATTGTGAAACAACCCTCCCCAACCTTAGAGGCATAAAACAATAACCATTTTATTATGCTTGTAGGATCTGAGCATCAGGAGTTCAGACAGAACACAGTGGGGCAGCTTATTTCTGCTGGTGTCATAGCTGGGAAGATTCTACAGCTGGGGGCTGGGACAGTCAGGACTTGAGGGCCTCCTTCCCAGATGGCTTCTTCAGCCACAGGTCTGGCTGGATGATCTATTCCACCTCGTCAATGGCAGGTCGAACAGGAAGGCATAGCTGTGGGGGGTCGAACAGGAAGGCTGGGAGTGTGGGAGCTGTAGGGGGGAACCAGTAGACCCCAGGGCTGAGCCCCCATGTTCCAGGATCTGGCAGCACAGGAGGTTGGCACCCGTGTGAGTAGCTTCTCCTCCAGGCCTTTACACATGCTGTTTTCTCCCTCTGGGACCCACTCCTCACCCATCTCATTAAGCCTCCTCATCCTTCAGTTCCCAGCTTGGCACTTGAGTTGCTGGAGGAGGAGCTCCCTGAGCCACTTAGTTAGATTTGCTGTCCCTCCTTCTAAATCCTGTCCTCTGTGGAAGGCCTTATCACACCATTGAAATTGACTGTCTACAGACTGAACACTCAGGGGACAAAGCTGGGGTATTTATCACCAGCACCCAGCACAGTACCAGGCACACAACAGACACTTTATGTATATTTATTAAATGGATGAGACTGATGGATTTTGAATGACTTTAACTTGAGCCTCAATTTCCTCTTCTATAAGTTGGCTTGCAGGTTTGCTGTGAAGGAGGCAGAAAAATAAAGGTTGGGAAAATGTGGGAAATCTAGGAGGAAGTCAGAAAAATGGTAGTTATGATTTAAACTGAGGGAAGAAAAGCAAAGGAAATGAGATTCTGTACCTACAGCTCTTAGCAGTGTCTGGTGCATAGTAGGTGCTCAATAAATATGACATCATCATCATCACTTATTTTTATTATAAGAATGCACATTTCTGGAGTTGGAAGGACCACAGAGGATGGCTTGAAATTTACTAAGAGAAAATGGAGAAGCGTAAGGCTCCACAAGTCACCTGGGACCAGATGTCTTGGCAAAAAGTCCTGTCATGGTGACCCTCGTGGGATGTTGGTCTCGCGTCCTCCTCTGAGTCAGGTTTCTCCTCTAAGCAAGGAAGGGCCTGGGCCGGGGACCTCCGAATCTGACACTCTTTGAGCTGCTGTGAATGCTACTCAGCTGAGGTCACCATTGCGACAGTTGCCCTCCGGCCTGAGGCAGGAGGCAGCCTCTCCGCTGCCCTTCACCCCACTTGAGTGCTGCTAGGAGAGAAGAGGAACACTGTCGCCCTTTTTCAGAAACGCTGTTACAATCCTGGCTGCTGCGCTGCTCCTAATTGAGCGGCGCCCTCTAGTGGCAGCATGTGGGAACGACAGGCAAGGACGTGGTGAGGGGTCTGGCAGGGAGGGAGGGGCACAGACTGTGGGGCGAGGGGAGGGGGGATGAGGGAAGAGGAGGGGGACGGAGGGTGAGTTTTCCAAGTGGGTACTGGTGTGGCCCCGCTGGAATGGGAGTCGGGAGGGGTCTGGCAAGAACGCCTCAGCTCTAGTCAAGCCATTGTTCTCTCCCACTGGAGTAGCATCTGGGGGGTCCAGAGCAGCTGGAATCTCCCTCTAGGCTTTGCCCCAGCTGCCCCTCATTGGCTGTGTGACCACAGCCAGTTTCTGAGCTTCTCTGTGAACTTCTCCAAGCTTCGCCTGTAAGAGGCAATTAGATGACGACCACCTGACAGCAGAGGGTCTCCTTCCCAGTAAGGTGCCTCGGTCCCCTGGGGGATGTGGGAGAGGCTGGGGTTTCTAAGGATTAGGAGCTGGGGGGGGGGAATGTCTGAGATATAAAGGCTATAGGAGGGGCTTGGCCCCTGAAGAAGCTTTATCTTCTAATTTGAAACCAAAACACATTGTCCCCAGCTCCCAGTTGGGGACAGAGGACCAGGCCCCCTGAGGGAAAAGAATGTGGCCAGGGAACTGCAGGACCCTCTTCTCTTATTTTGGTCACCCTCAGCATCCTAGGATTTGAATCTTAGCAGAAAACTTCTCTATAGAATTATATATTTACTTAATATATATATAATTCTATAGATTCAGATTATTGATCCTTGAGGTCAGAGTCAGAACTGCAGCCCTCAAATCGAGACCCCCAGCTCTGGGGCTGGAAGTCGTTTGAGAGCCTCCCCTCCCTGCAGCTTGTCCTAGAATGACTAGCTTTGCTCTCGTTGCCTGCTCCTACACTTGTTCACAATTAGTAGGTCTGGGGTGGAGCCCTAGAATCTGAATTTTTAAAAAAAATTCTCCCCAAGGAATGCTGTTGGGCCTCCCAGATTTGGGCAATGGATTTAATCCAGCCTGGCCTCCTCTTCATCCATCAAATGGAGACGTGGAGGCCCAGAAAGGGGAAATGACTTGGCCTAGGTCCCACGGATAGCTGGTGACAGGCTGGGACTTGAACACATGCCTCCCAATGCTGAGGTCACTCTACCCAGCAGTTCCCGCTGTTTAGATGGCTTTGTGGGGTTGTCAACCTATTTAGGGCCCCAGCCCCTCAGACATGCCATACGTGGGTTCCTGGGGCCAATTCTGTGCTTCATGGGGCTGAGAAGCCCTGGGGGCCCTCTTCTCCCTCTGGCTGAGCCCCCTTCTTGAGAGGAGTCTGGAGGACGTGAGGGCCCCTCCTCTCTTTTGAGCATTCTCCCCCCTCAAGCTGAAACCCTACCCTGTCCCCAGTGCACCCTGACCCCTCTCAGCCCTGTTCATTCCAGCGAAAACCACCCCACATGTTTTCGATTCTGCTACTCCAAACTCATCAGCATCATGGTTTTGTAACACCCGCTTGATGCCCAAGAAGCATTTGCAAGCTTCTTTTTTTTTTTCCCTTTATTAAAAAAAAAAGTTGGGGTCTTGAAACAGCAACAGAGCATCTCAGATGCACAAGCTTTTGCAGTAAAGCGGCTGGTGGCCTGGCCAGGCGAGGAGGGGCTCTAGCTGTCCTCAGGGTGGTGTGAGGGGGAAAGGGGAGGGAGCAGTGCCAGGGGATCCCCATCTGCCAGGTGCAGGCAGATCTTCGGGTGGACACTCTCCTGGGGTGGGGGGTGTGATATGTCACCACCTAGAGCCTCTCCCAAGCCCCCAGCCCTCCTTCCCCAGACCACCGTGGGCCTCTCGGGGCTCAGCCTCTTGCTTCTTCTGCCCATCTCTGCTCCCAGCTGCTGAGCCTGGTGAGTTCAGGCCAGCTGGTAATGGCGATGCAGGTCAGGAGTGCCCCTTCCTGGGGATTCTGGGGTGCAAAGGAGGCGGGGGGTTCCCTACGGCGGAATGACAGGCAGTGAGAATAACCTTGCTCATAAGCTTGGTCTAACCTGGGGACTCCTCCTAGTGTTCTTCCTGCCTGGGGTGGGGGTGTCACAGTGAAACGCAAATGCTCAGGTGTCAGTGGTGGGTGTGGTGAGTGCAGGGTCTTGCTCCTGACCCAACCATTTCCTTCATCCCCTCCCCAACAGACCCCCAAAGTTTCCTCTCAGCTGTGGATGTGCTAGTAGGGTACCGTCAGGTGGAAAGCTGAGTGCATGTGTTCCCTGTGTGACCTTGGGCAAGTCCCTTCTTTCCCAGACCTCAGTTTCTCCATGGGTGCAATGGACGAGAGGTGCCGGGGTGGGAAATGAAGTGGCTGGATAATCTCAGAGTTCCTTTCAGCCTGATGGCCTCTTCTGGGCTGACTGGCTAGTTCTGCCAGGGGTGACAGCCCCACCTGATCCAGTGCTTGAGTCCCCAAGGGCCTTTGGAGTATGGCCAGCTTGGGAGGAAGAGGCATGGGAACCGTGGGAGAGCGCTGGTCGGGTACAGCAGGCAGCTTCCAGGAGGATGGACCTGGCAGATGCGGGGCTGGCTGTCCCGTCAGAGGCCTCAGCATGGCTCCTCCACTGGCAGCCGGGGAAGGTGTACAGGCCGGGCCTCGGGAGGCCTCGGAGCCTCTTCCAGTGGGCTCCTTGGGGAAGCTGGGTGGCAGAAGGCTGTGGAAATGGCCTCCAGGGACTGCGCAGAGGATGAGGCGCTTAAAGCCCTGGGTTCTGGGGTCTTCTTGGAGCAGAAGCATGGGCCCTGCCCCACAGAAACCCCTTCTCTGCAAACGTGGAGTTAGGACAGGGTCAGGGAAAGGCCTAGAAAAAGATGTTTGCTGTCTTTAAGGAGTAGATAGAGAGAGCTGCAAGGGAGGGCACAGGCTCACAGTCTGTCTCTTAAAAGTGTGTGTGTGTGTGTGTGTGTGTGAGAGAGAGAGAGAGAGAGAGAAGGACACAGTGAAGAAGAAAAAGAAAAACGAAAGGAAGAGAAAGGCAGACAGATAAAAGGGGAGAGAGAAGAGGAAGGAAGGAAAGAAGGGAGGGGGAGAGGGAAATAACGATGGAAGAAATGAAGGAAATAAAGGAGAAAAGAGAAAGAAAAGGTATACTGACAAAAAAAGGGAGAAGGTGAGGGAGAAGGAAAGATAAAAGGAAAAAAAGAGAAAGCAGTGGTGGCGGCAGCAGCGAGGAAGGAAAGCGCAGGGCAGAAGCAGCGAGCTGCAGTGCGCGGTCGCGGTCGCGGTCACGGTCACGGTCAGGTTGCGGTCACGGCTGCAGGCCAGGCTGCTGCGGCCTCACGTCCAGCCGGCGGTCCAGCTTCCTGTCCTTTCGCGGGCGCCGGTCTTTCCGGCCCTTCTTCTGGCTGGGGTTTCTCTCTGTAACACGAGCACAGGGCGTGTTTCTGAGGCTGCAGGGCCAGTTAGGTCCTGGAAGGTTCCCCAATCCCCGGCTCCGACTCCCTGAGGACGGGGCTCAGGAGGACGTGCGGGTGCTGACTTTGCAATCACTCCTTAGAGTTTGGATTGTAGGATAAGTTGCCCCAAACTGAACACCTTTCTCTAGCTCCTTAGGGGGTGGGAGGAGCATTAATTTGCTGAGGGCCTGCCTGAGCCAGGCATCTGGTCTGGCCTGGAGGTTCACGTGGAACCCCCATCAGGACTTAGGGTGGCCTACTGGGGGCCCCCATGACCATCCTACGTGCACTCATTTCACCGTTTACAAGGCTCTTTGCTAGAGACTCAGCACCTTCTGCCTGGATCCCTGTGCCAACCTCCCCGCCACAGGCTCTGCCCTTCAAAATCACACGACAGCAGCAATAACTTAGCATTTAGCTGGTGCTTGCCACATGCCAGCACAGCTCCAAGTGCTCCAAGAACATGAAACTCACAACAGGGGGGGGGGGGGGGGGGGGGGGGGGGGGGGGGGGGGGGGGGGGGGGGGGGGGGGGGGGGGGGGGGGGGGGGGGGGGGGGGGGGGGGGGGGGGGGGGGGGGGGGGGGGGGGGGGGGGGGGGGGGGGGGGGGGGGGGGGGGGGGGGGGGGGGGGGGGGGGGGGGGGGGGGGGGGGGGGGGGGGGGGGGGGGGGGGGGGGGGGGGGGGGGGGGGGGGGGGGGGGGGGGGGGGGGGGGGGGGGGGGGGGGGGGGGGGGGGGGGGGGGGGGGGGGGGGGGGGGGGGGGGGGGGGGGGGGGGGGGGGGGGGGGGGGGGGGGGGGGGGGGGGGGGGGGGGGGGGGGGGGGTCTGTACCTCACCCAGTCCTCTCTGTGGAGATGGGTGGGCTGGGGGGCAAATCCAAGACCTAATTCTGACTTCAACCCCATTGTGTCCCCCACCCCACCACCCCTGGTACAGCTGGGCTGAGCTCCTAACACAAATATCTGATTAGTCCCATTTCTCAGACGTGGTGACTGAGGCCTAGCAAGGGGAGTGACTTGCTCAGTGGCACAGCCTAAACTGGGCTTTCCGGAGTCCAGGTCTGCGCTCTCACTTCTAGGTGGCAAACTTGGGCAGAGGGGACAAATTGAGTGACCAGTGGCCAGATGGCTGGCAGGAGTGGACAGAGTCCCAGCATGCTTTAAGAGCAAAAGAGGTCTGGTGCCCCTGTACCCAAACTCCTCTAGTGGCTCCCAGCTCACTGGATGGAGTAGGAGTTCTCTCCCTGGCCTGCACGACCCCACTTCATCTCTGACCTCTCTCAGTCCCTCCAACTTGACCCCTCACCCCAGTCACTGGCCTCCTCTCTGCTCCTCCTCACAGCAGGTCCAGGCCGGCTCACACCTTCCCACTGGCTGCGCTAACCCTGCCGCCTGGAGTGCTCTTCTGAGCTGTTGTTTGTCATTACTATCAACAGGTGACAAGACTGAGGTGTGGTCGGGAGCAAGGCCAGCCCTAACTTTCTGGTTTACAAAGTACCTCCACACGTAGGCCATTTTTAGACGTCGTTTGTCCCCCATACATGGAGCCGTGTGCAAGGGCACACAGCGAGGCAGTTAGAGACCTCAGAGCCCCATGGCAAGGAGAGGGAAGTTTTATTTCCTGAGTGTCAACTGTGTGCAGGTCTTCCCAGGAGTCAGGGCTGCGGCTCCAGTCCTGGGTTCTCCCTCCACAGGGCAGATTCAGAATCATCCCCTTAGGTCAGGCTGCCTATTTCTAGGGGTCCCCAGACCCCTCCAAGCCCTCTGGGGGTACTGAAGCCAGATTCCCACTCTAAGCTCTGGGCTGACTGCGCAGCCCCCAGGTGAAGACAGCATCTGGGGACAGGGTGTGGGTGCTGCCAGAGTGGCCCTTGACAGCTTTGGAGGTGGAGATGTGGGGGTGAGTGGCTTTGGGTTCCTATTCCTTCCCTATGCCTGCCTGACAGCTGCCAATGTACCCATGCACTCACCTACTCACCTACCCACCCACCCACCAATCCACCCACCCACCTGCCCACCCATCTACCCTCCCATCCTCCCACTCACCCTCCCATCCACCCACCCATCCACCCACCTACCCACCCATCCATCTGTCCACCAACCTACATACCCATCCACCTATCCACCCACCTATGTACCCATCCCCCCACCCAACCACCTTCTCACCCACCCATCCACCCATCCATTCATCTGCTCACCCACCTACCCACCCATTCATCCATCCACCAAATACTAACTGGACACCTAGTACACGCCAAGCCCTGTTCTAGGCATTAACTAGAGAGACAGCCATGAACAGGCAGACAAAGACCTTGCTCTCCTTGGAGATCACATTCTAGTAAGGAAGACAGACACTAAACAAGCAAACACAAGAATGAGCAAGATTCTTTCAGAAAGACATATGAGGGTACTTCAAAAAGTTGGAAAAATAGAATTAAAAGATAATACAAATCTTTCCCTGAACTTTTTGAAGTGTCCTTGTAAGTACTACGATGTGATGTGACGGAAAGTGACTCGTGGGGGGTGGGGAGAAACTCACGGAGAGCCTCTCTGAGGAGGTGATGTTTGAGCTGAGACCTGGGTGGTGCAGGGAGCCGCAGCAGGCCTGTTGTGGGGTTAAAGGAGCTGTGCTTACAAAGCACTTAGCCCGCGCCCAGCCAGCGTGTGGTCAGCGCTTTCCTGCTGCTGCTGCTGCTGCTGCTGCTGTTAGTATCTGGGGAGGAACTTTCCTCTCTTGATCCTTACACCTCCCCTTCTCCCCCAGCCAATCAGAGACCAGCCCTCAGATGCCATGACAGGTGTGGCCACAGTAACAAGGGCTGTAGAGAACTGTCTGTCTGTCTGTGTGGGTGCTTCCCTGGGTCTGGAGTCTCTTAGTTTCTCTGGTCCCATATCAACCTCGCTCTGTCCCCAACTGCCCAGCATGACTCCCAGAGGTTCCCATCTCTGCTATCTGTACTTCCAACCCAGACACCACAAGTCCTTCTGAAACAGTGGTATCCCGGGTTCACATCCCAGCTTCAACGCTTCTCAGCTGTGAGCCCCGAGTGGCCTGGCCCCAGGTCCCTCCCCCTTAAACATGTCTTTAGATTCCTCTTTGCTGCCTCTGCCTGGCTGTGTGACCCTCGAGCAAGTGACTCAACCTCTCTGGTCTCAGTCCACTCATCTGTAAAGTGGGGATAATAACAATACCTACCTCATAGTGTCATTGCGCAGATTAAATGAGTTCATGACTGTAGAGAACTTAGCATAGTGCCCAACACGCGGTAGGTGCAGTTAACATCGCTAGTTCCATGTTATTACTACTGACGGTTTGCATCTTACCAACCACACTTTGCAGCCTCTCTTCCATCTAAATCAGTGATTCTGAACAGCCTCCAGGTGCTACTTTGGAAATCTGTGTAGTGGTCCGGGTTGTCACAAAGAAGCAGCTCCCACTAGCATTCAGTGGACAGGGATCAGGGGTTCTGGATGGGACAGTCCCCCACAAAGGAGAGTGGTCCCCTATTCCATCCAATTCTCTCACATCCTGCCCAGTCTCATGGAGCTGAAAAATCTGCTTGCTCAGAGCTTAACTCTGTTTTACATACAAATGCCAGGTGACACTTCCATTCACTGAGTATTCTAGGACTGCTAGTACCGTATCAGTCAAGAAGTCAAACAGTTTGGTTGGACTTTAATAATCATAAGTCACTGTTTGGGGAACCGCATCTCTGATGGCAACGTGGTTGTGCATTTGAGGCGCTGACCACGGCTACAGCCTTCACCATGATTCTGCTTCACTGTGTTCTCTGGCATGCTGGGCCGGAGCGCTTCCATAATGCAATTTTTTCCTTCCTCTTCTATATTACAGTTAAGGAACTATACTGATTTATTTTATTTTTTTTAAACCACTTTGGGGCCAACCCCGTGGCTCACTCGGGAGAGTGCAGCGCTGGGAGCGCAGCGGTGCTCCCGCCGCGGGTTCGGATCCTATTTAGGATGGCCGGTTTGCTCACTGGCTGAGTGCAGTGCGGGCAACGCCAAGCCAAGGGTTGGGATCCCCTTACCGGTCACAAAAAAGGACAAAAAAACACCCAAAACAACAACAACAAAAAACACTTGTGCAAATGAGTTACATTATCTATGAATTTCATTTCAGAATAGTAAAGAGAATGTTCCAAAATCTTTGTTATTAAAAGAGGGGTGGTCAATCTGAGAGAGGAGAGAACTCCTGACAAGCTCAATCTTCCTAGTGTACTTGGGACTGACCCCAGCAAGGAAGACCCTCCCCTGAAAGGACACTGGGGAGGGTAATGCTTAATGAAGGTATGGCCAATGGTGTGGACTTTCAGGCAGCCTTACAGGTGCTATTTGTGGAGGAAGCATCCTGAGGCCAGTAAAAGTCACCTGTGGGCCCTGCCTGCTGCAGCCCCACATGCCATCCTGGTGCTCACCTCCTGGGCAAGGCCTCTGGATGGGACACTTCCTTGACTCGGAAAGCACCTGGCAGGCTGCTGCCTCCTCCCGCCCAGTCCGGCCAGCCTCTCGTACCCGGGTCTCCAGGCCCCAGGCTGAGCCACAGGTCTTCCCGTTGTGTGTGCAGGGGCTCCAGCTGCCCCAGGGGCCCAGCTCACACTCCTCTGTGGGGTGAAGGGAGAGACAGACAGACAGAGTCAGTTGCCAGTGAGTGTCCTTCAGATCCAAGGGTTCGGTCCCCTGATACACCCCCTCCACCCGCAAGGGACTCAGTCTATTACTAGGAGCAGAGGGGAGATTTTGAAAAAACTATAATAGCCTGGGATGAGAGCTACACTAAAGCATGCACAGACTGCTATGGGCTAGAAGCCAGAGTCATGGACATAAAAGTTCTTAATAGGGGGTCATTTAAAAAATACATATATATATATATATTTTTTTTCACATTCTTTTAAGAGTCCCTGAGAGGTAGGCACAGAACACAGGTAGCTGTGAATACCCCCATTTTGCAGATTAGGACACTGAGGCCTACAGCAGGTAAGGAGTTTGCTAAGGGAACACAGCACGGGGCTTGCACAATGGATACAGCAAGTTCAAGAACAGGGAAGGGGGGTGGTGCAGAAAGCAGGTCTCCAGACCTTAGAATAACAGCCCTGCTACTAGATGCATTCATTTAACAAGTAAAGACTAAGCACCAATAGGGTGCCGGGTGCTGTTCTTGGTGCTGAGGGGCAGCAGCTGACAGGACAGACCTGGGCCTGCTCCTGGAACTCACCTCCTAGAGATGTCAGGCTGGGAGGGCAGGGGGTGCATAGTACAGTAATGAGGGAATGACAGGCAGCTGTGGGAGCCCAAGGAGGCACGGGTCACAGCAAGGGGGACCATGGAGACTTTCTGGAGGAGGAGACTCCTGAACTGAGTCTTGAAGTAAGGGGGGAGGGAAGGGGGATTATCCAGGTTTGGGAGGAGCAGTAGGTGAACCAGGAGGAAGAAATAATACCAGCAAAGTCCCCAGGATGACCTGGCCCTCTGTTCTTGTCTAGAACTGGACCAGCCAGAGCTGAAACCCAAATGGGGGAGGAATAAAGGGATGGGGGTTGAAAGGCCAGCAGATGGGGACCAGACTACCCAGAGCACGAAGTCATGGGAGTCACTGAAGGGCCTTGGGCAGAGAGGAAGCTGAGCAGACTGTCATTTTGAAATAATCACTTTGGCTGCTGGGTGGAGCACTGGCTGGAGATCGTGAGACCAGAGGCAGGGAGACAGGCAGGAGGCTAAGGCCACATGGTCTTGTGATGGGCAGAGGGTGGGGAGAAGGTGGCAGGTGGGGTGGGGTGGGCAGAAGGGGGTGTGAGGAGTGGGGTGGGCTTGGGAGCTTTATGCTGTTTAATTTTTTCCCCCAAAGTTCTTTCTGCCACCCGACATATTACATATTTATGCATGTGTCACACTTCTGTCTCCCCACCGAAATGTCATATCCAGGAGGCCAAGGGCTTTGTCTGTTTTGCCCACTAACACGTCCCCAGCATCCAGGAAAGCGACTGGCCATGGCAGACTCTCTAGTAAATATCTTTTGGGTGAATGAATGAACAGAGCGGGTTGGGTAGAGGGTGAGGGAAAGAGAAGATTCAACAATGATGCCTGTGTTTCGGGCTTGGCCATTGCACGGGTCGTGGCGCTAGTTATTGACAGAGGAAACCCAGAGGAGGCACCAGGCTGAAGACGAGGGTTGGGGGAGAAGGAGGGACCCAGAGGGCAGGTGGGCTGCTCAGGGAGGGACGTGGGGACAGTGAGTCATGAGCCATCAGCTGTTGGAATGACTGTGAACGTGAGCCCAGGGAGGGTTCGGGTGAGAAGGTCAAGGAGCAGCCTTGTGTGAAGCCAGACCACAGAAGAGGAACTCACAGACGAAAGTCTGGAGAGGAGCCGTCAGAAAGTCAGAGCAGTAATAATGACAGCCAACAAGCATTGAGCATTTACAGCACGCTAGTTCCTGTTTTAAGTTATTTAAATTGTATTAATTTATCTAATCCTCAGGAGCACCCCCTCCCCCTGATGTAGGCTCTATGTTTTATTGTAATTTTTTTAAACGTTTGGAGAAACTGAGGGACAGAGAGCTTAAGTGACTTGCTTAAGATCACTAATGGGTACATTTTAAGAGCTAGGATTTGATCCCAGGTCTGTCTTATTCCAAAACTGGTGCTCTTCTTCTGTGTCCTGCTGCCTCCTTTTGTAGTAATGATGCCAGCGTTGGTAGTAATAGTAATCATAACCACATGATTATAATTACTATTATAATCATGCTGGCACCAGTGTCTTGCAGGATTACTATGTGTAGGTAGCCGGTGGACCTGACATGGTGCTGGTGGGCCTCCCATCTCCACATGACTTCCTCCCAGGGAGGGAGGGGCAGCAGGCAGGGTGAGGAGGTCCCCCACTCACCCTGACACTCCTGTGTGTTCTGGTGGGCTTCAGTGCCCGGCGGGCAGGTGGGCAGACACTTCCCCTTGTACAGGTAAAACCGCCTCTTGCACCGGATGCAGAAGTCCTGGCTAAAGCAGCTCTCGCAGGTGGTCCCACATTCTGTAATAGACCAGGGACACCACAGGTGAGGGCAGCTGCCTGGGAGGGTGTCCTCTGGGTCTGCCTGAGGTGGGAGGGGTCTCTGAGTAGCCCTAGGTTCTGTAGCACTGGGGTCAGGACTTAGTGTCTCCTTTGAAGCCCAGACTTGGCCAAGGTCAAAGTGAGCTGCGTGTGAGAAGAACTCCCTTTCTCATTTGAGTGGAGGCTCAGAAAGAGCAAGTGACTTGCTTGAAGTCACACAGCTAAACTGGGCTGGGAGTGAGGATCCTTGGCTCCTTTTCCACCAAGACTCAGAGATAGAGATGATTTGTCCCAGGTCATAGTGAAAATTAGAGTTAGGACTCCTTTTCCCATTTGAGGTAGGCCCAGAGAAGGGGAGTAACACGCCCAGGGCCACACAGCACACTAGGTTAGAACCTGCCCTATTAGTGCTGGGAACTATCAGTGCCCTGTTAATGCTGATTAAGGCTGAGAGGAGACTCACTTGCCTAGGGATGAAGAGCCAGCCCGGAACCAAGCAAGTATCTCAGAGTCTGGGCTCAGGCATACACCTACTTCCTCTCTGGCTGTGTTGGGATGAGAGGGTGAGATGTGAGCCAGTCAGTAGTGCCCAGGAGCCCAGCACTAGCAGAGGACAAGGTGCGAGCCACGTACTTTTGCACCTGTTGACCTCCTGGCCACGGATGCCGAAGTAGCCGGGAGGACAGTCGTGCATGCACTTGCCGTACTGGCGGATACCTTCCCGGCGGATGAACAGGAAGAGCCTCTGCTGGCAGGTGGAGCAGCCGTTCTCCTCTGAGCAGATTACACAGCCTGTGCAGTTGCCCCCTAGGCCAGTGCCCACTGCTATCCAGACCAGGGTGAAAGGAGGCAGAAAGGAAGAGAGAGATGATCAAACCAAATGTGTGAGCAGATCAAACTGTTTTATTGGGATATTAACTGGACACATGGACACCCAGACAAAAGACTACATTCCCCAGCTTCCCTTGCAATTAGATAGTCATGTGACCAAAATCAGGCCAATGGGATGTAAGGTAAAGCAGTGCATACAAATTCTAAAAAGCTGCCTTAAAGGGCAGGGATGTGCCCTTTGCCATTTTCTCATCTTTTCTGTTGTGTGGAATGTGAACATGACGGCTGGAGCACAAGCAGCCATTTTGGATTATGAGTTGAAAACCATATTCTGAGGATGGTGAAATAGGATAAAAATTACCTGGGTCCCTGAGGAAGGCAGAACTGCTATAGCAGCCCTGGACTGCCTGAGTAGACTGTTACATGACAGAGAAATCAATGCCTATTTTGTTTAAACCACTGTTACTTGCAGTTTTCTGTTACTCACAGGCACACTTCATCTTTACTAAAGTAGTGTGGATAAGGCTACTTTAAAAAGTTCATGGAAAAAAGAATTAAAAGATAATATGAATCTTTCCACGAGCTTTTTGAAGTACCCCCATATTTTCGAGTGTGCATGGGGTTCGTATGCCTGTCAGGGTGGGGTGAAACCCTAGCCCTCCTGCTCAGTTTCTGACCAACACTCTTACTAGGCCTCACAGTCAGCTTAACATAAGAATATCTGCTACTCCCTCACCCCGTCCCCCTGCCCCCTCCCTTTCCCTCAAGGCCGGTGTGTTCCAATAAAAACATCGTGTATGAAACAAAAAAACAACAAAAACCTGCAAAGCTGTTACGGAATGCTGAGTGCTCAGAATAGCTGCCCCCTGCCCCAGACAAACCGTATAAAGCCTCTGCTAGTCTGTAAGAGGGCGGAACACTGATCTTTCAGTTTCCCCTCCAGGTTCCCTGGAGTCAACTCCCTTGCTTGATAATGTTCGGCTCCGAGTCTTTCATTCTGTTTGTCTTGCCAACCTAACAACTCCATTTCTCACTGCCACCATCATCAGGTATAGCACGTTGAGGGAGAAGCTTTTTTGTTGCCCCAGAATTGGCAACCAGGACCCAAACCTGGGGAGAAAGAGGTGGAAATACCCTAAAAATCTAAAGAGAGATCGATTCTCTAAGGTTCATAGGGAGTGTCTGTTACCCTGACCCTCACCTCAGGATCCTGATTATGCTGACCACTTAGAGAAGGGACTCAGGAGTTAGGAGAAGTGTCAGCTGGGGAAGTGGTGGCGGTGCTGTGGCTTTTCCTTTGTTCCCAACCCTCCAAACCAAGTGAGGAGATCAAGGGAACCCCTCACAGAGACAAGTGTACCAACATCTCGTGCCCCAGTTGGCCATAAACTTGCATCCATAGCCCTGTGAATCTGTTCCCTTCCCACCCCTCTTTGAGAAGAGAAAAGGAGACCAGGAGAGAGAAGAGTAAAGCTGGGCGTGGAGACAGCAGAAGAGCCTGCACACCCTTCATGGCAAGCATGAGGGGTGCTCAGTGGCAAGGGGCACCTTAGGAGTGGCCAGGCTCAAGTGGTATTGCTGCTGCCTTGCACAGGAAGGCTGGTGGCCGGCAGGTGCGCAGCAGTAAGAGGCAGCAGGCAGACCACTGGGGACAGAAGGTGGGAGCGAGTCAGGAAGTGGCCGATGTCATGAGGGACAAGAAAGGACAAGGCAGCTCCATAGAGGCAGCAATTGGGGAAACATTAAACTGTCTCATGTTATACCATAAAGGTCAGACGTTTAATGAACCGGTAACACGCTTTGGCTCACCTGAGGCCCATGGCCACCCAGCAGGGGATATTCTTGGCTTTCCAGCTCCCAGCCTCTCCCCTATTCCTGTTGGTCCCCATCTCCCTTTTAGAGGAATTCCCCATTGTGTGAGGTCCTGGTGAAAGGCAATCCTGGTGCCTTCCCCCTGGAACAGAGACCAAGGAGGCCCAGCCCTTCTTCAAGTCACCAGAGGGTGGGCCTATCCAAAGCCTGGGGATGGGACTCAAAGAGCGAAGGGACACATAGGAATGGAGTCACGGTGGAGGCACAGCAGGCTCTGCCCAGGCCTGACTGGGGTCTTTCGTATTCCCTCCCTCCCTCGATCCCTCCAGCCCTTCCTCCCTCCCCAACTACAGCACTGCCACTTCCCCAGACCTGATCTTCAGCAACCTGGATTCTGTGAGCCCCCCAGATCCTGCTGATAACCCTATTTCTGTTGCTTAACAACCGAGGAGCCTGGCCAATCCAGGCAGGCTCATAAGGAGGTACACAGTAACTAACACGTTTTCTGGGGTCCTGTCCCCAGGCACTAGGCCAGAGTGGCAGTGCCCTTGATTCTGTTGTCCTGGGAAGAGAAACTGCAACAGGGCTACAGAATAAAGGTTTATGTGTTTCCAAAGCTGTATACCTGGCAGGGACCAGAGGGCAGAGAGCAAGCATGATGTTGTAAGAGGGATTCCTGGGGCCAGAGAGAGAAGATCATCCACCGAGAATTTAACAGAGCCCAGACTTCTCACCCACCTGGCAGAGAAATTTAAGTCCTGATGTTACTAAGGGCTGGCAAGGATTAGGGGAATCTTTCACTTCTGATAAAAGTGTAAACTTTAGAGAAAAATCTAGCAGTATCTAGTAAATTTGAGAAAGTGCCTCTTTTAAACTCAGCAATTTGGCTTCTGGTATAAACCTTAGAGCAGCAGTTAAATGCTAGCATGCACTGGCAGCTCCTGGAGGGCTTATTACAGCACAGATCGCAGGGGTCCACCTGGAGTCCCTGATTTGGTAGGTCTGAGGAGGAGCCTGAGAATGTGCATTTCTAAGAGGTTCCCAGATGATGCTGATGCTGCTGGTCCCAGGACCACACTTTGAGAACCACTGGCCTGGAGAAACTCTTGTTTATGTGCACAAAGAGACATGTACAAAGATGTTTATTGTGGCATCATTGAATAGCAAACAATTGCAAAAAGCCAACCCTTTGTCAAAAGAATAGATAAGTAAATGTGGTATAGTCTTATACCACACAACAAGCCAGCCCTGAAAAATGGCTGTTATCTTTGTGGACGCATCTCAAAGACAACGCTGAGAGGATAAAGCAAGTTGCACAAGGACTTATATAGTAAAAACCATTTATATAAAGTTCAAGAACCTGTAAAACAACACTTTGTAACATTTATAATACATAAATGTGTATTAAGAGTAAACAACATATAAAGGACTAACAAACACTGACCTCAGGATGGTCGCACCTCTGGGGCCAGATGTGGGGTAAGAGACAAGGGAAGAAGACTAGAGACTGTGCTTTTATCTGTAATATTTAATTGCTTAAAATCTGAAGCAAATATGAAAATGGCAAAATTTGATCAAAGTGGCTGGTGGGTACACTAATGTTCGTTATATTATTTTTTATTCTTGACCGTAGGTTTGAAATAGTTCACACTAAAAATATATTTAGAGAAAAAAGAGTTTAGCCTCTATTGCGTCCTAGGGCAGAGGGAGGAATACATTCTTTTTTACCCTTCCCCCCCCCCAGCTCCCTTCCCCAAGCCCTGTCCCATCCTCAAGCTGAGGTCTTGGGCAGGGGAAGGTGACAAATTCTGGAGACATGGGAGAGAGTTCGGAGAGCAGTAGAGACACATAGCCTTGAGCACTGTGCTAGTCAGCCCCCATGTCCATTCCCCCCTTTATCCCCAGTAAAGGAACCTTGATTTTAAGTAGAGTCCACATCTTCTAAGAAGAAAGACTACATTTCCCAGGGTCCTCTGCAGCTATATGTGGTTATGTGTCTAAGTTTTGGCCAATGTGGTGTGAATGGGAATGTTCAGTGCCACACCCAGGAAATGCCTGCGGTATCTTCCTCTCCTTCTCCCTTCTGTCTATGGGGTTGCAGACTTGGTAGCTGGAGCCACGGCAGATCCCGGTGGCAGAGGGATCTTACAGAAAGACACCATGGCATGGCCCTACTAACCCAGGACTACCTACTGCAGAGATTCTTGTTTAGGCCACTGGGCCTTTCTGATGCACGATAACAGCTAATGATATCGGGTCTTCAGCCAAGCAGATCAACACAGAGTGACGTCAGTGGAGACCAGGGTGCCCTTCTCTGTGCATCAGCTCCATGTACGCCTGTTGGACCCAAAATGTGACCCCACTGACAAAGGGTAAGGGGACCCTCAGTAGGCTTAGGGTGATCTCTGCCACCTGGCAGAATAGGAGTTCAAATTACAAATTCTGTTCAATCACGGGAAAACAAAGTGGTATGTCCTGCAAACAGAGTTTATGGACTGAGACTCACACCCTGATGCGGTGATGTTGCCCATTTTGCAGCTGAGCAAACCAAGGCTCTAGGAGGTGAAATGACATGCCTGTGTCACATGAATCAGTAGGGAAGGTACCCAGGTCAGCCTGCCCCGCACGGCCTTCTTAGAGCATTTTCTCAGGGCCTCTTCTGTGTCAGGCAGAGCCTGAGGCTACAGGAGTGAGTTGCACATGGCCCTGCCCTTATAGGACTCACAGCCTGGTGGGAGGGACTGAAGCCCACAAAAGTGATAGCAAAGCAGGATAAGAAGAGTGTTCCAAGACAGGGACAGAAGAGCTTACGGATTACTCACCTGATCCCTGCAGTTTCCCTGGGGACCCAGGCAGTGAAACAGCAAAAAACCCCAGTAAGAGCTACAGCACTATTTGTAGAATGATGTCTTGACATGCTGAAGGCAAAAGTACCCAACAAGAGCCCTTCCCTGACCTCAGAGATTGACCTCGGTGCACGTGTGCACCCTTGGGGCACAGATCTTAATTAGCATCCTTCAATCCTGGGTCTTTGAAGGGATTGCTTTGTGCTGCATTCTTGGCCCTGGCGGTTGGCAAGGGTGCCCTCTAGTGCCTCTATGTTGTAATAGCACCTCCGACTTTGAATTCTAATGGTCTGTCTGGCGTTTCATCACGTCTCCATAACTCATTAGAAAGAGTAC